ATCCCTGACGCGGGAGTCGAGAGCGAGACAAACACACGCAGGCGGGGTCGAAAGTCGAGGCGGATGAAGAAAAGCTTTCGAGTGAAGACATAGCTGGAACGTTGACGAAATTCTAGTCAAGACAGATTCACGGCCCCAAGTTATCGGGGACCGTTCCAGGCTACAATGTGGAGGACACGTCACTAAGAAGATCAACAAATTTTAAAACCTGCGAACGAGGAGTAGGAGTTGATCTCTTACCAAGGACCCAGCACTTTCTTGTGAGTTTGCCTTGTCCTTCGTAGGGTGCCTACATGTTTCCGCTCCGCTCAGCGGAGCGGCGGGAACATGTAGGCACCCTAGTCCTTCGTAGGTGAATATGCTTTCTGTGTGCTCAGTTCACCCCTACGTTGACAGCGCGATGGAAGCTGCGCGCTCATTGAAGCAGTCGTGCGTCCACCTTTCGCCACTTGATCAAGCCCCCGCCAATACACATGCGCAGAGAGCGCAATCAGGTAATGAAAGAGGCGGTCGATTGTTTTGACAAGCGCGTTGGTGCCACCGCACTATGAGCTTAGGGGTGGCCGTAATATAGTCGGAAAAGGCAAACATCGAGCAAATCGGGCTCATTTCGGGAAGTTAAGTCGGGGAAAAGCAAAGGCGTAGACATAGCTATTGGTACTTTGGAAAAAGAAAGATTTCCGGAGGCGTCCGACACACCTTTCTCTCCCTGGTGGCGTTTCTCCCCAGAAAACATTCGGCCCCCTTGCGTGACAACGCGCTATAACTCGCGCACTTCAGGTGTTATGAAAAAATACCTATCAAGAAGAATGTCAGGAATGCGTCTACCAGCGCTCTTGAGGGAAAGCAATTCGACTGCGTCGGAGTCAGAAAAAAAACAACGTTATGGGCATTTGCTCAACCTTGTGAAAAATCGATTCGGGGACAACTGATGCCCTTCTCCAAAAGTCACATTAGGGGCAGGTTACGACATCTCACAACAGTCGTTACGACTTCATGTAAAAACGAGCTCCCATGGCCCGGCCAATGGAAGTGAACGACTTCTCCAAAATCAGTAGGACGGAATCACAGCAGCCATTAACCGATCAACTTCACCGTTGAATGAACAGCAAAACAAGTGAGCTGCTTGTTTTAGTCTTATTTTAAGAGGCTCTACGTTATGTTTACCACTTACGTCGTCACGGGCACGATTTACTGCCTGAGGGAATTGAAAAGTAATTTCGAAGTAATTTTCTCACTTTTCCAAAGCAATTGTAACTTAATGTAATTACTTTTAGTCTGCGGTTATTTGTAATGTAATTTAATTAAATTTCGGCATTCCTGAAAAAAGTAATGTGTAATGTAAAATTGCTTTTGAGAAGAAATTTTCTAGCCTCTGGCTCTCAAGCCTGACTGTGCACCTCGCTCTGGCAGGGCTCACACTTCGGCGACGCCGTACTCATTATCAGAAGTTGAAACTCTTGTACATAAAAACCGCTATGTGCCAATTGCTAAAATGGCTGAGAAATTCAGAATTAGTCATGTGTCAAAGCACTATATGATTCATGATACTTTGCAGTACCATAAAGTGTCTGCCACGTAGGTACCAAGACAACTTAGGCATTAAGGAGCGCCGCGTGGATGTGTGGGAGGCGCTACTCGGACGCTATGGAGCCTGAGAGAGATTATTTTCTTCAACCTATTGTCACTGGGAACGTTGAATCCACTATCCCAGCGAGAGACCAAGCGGGCAAGCAAAAGGTGGAGATACACTTTGCTACCAAGACCAAAGAAGTTTGGGCGGTTCCGACAAAGCGCAATATTATGCCCACGACTTTCCGGAACAATGAAGGGAAAACAGTCGAACATTACATGCGTAGGGGAAACAGGGTCAACAACGTGTCATACTGTGACTTGTTTGAGAACAACTTGAAGTCTATGATCAGGTCGAAGTGTTATTGTTTGCTAACCTTTGGCGTGTTGTTGTTGCACGGCAATGCGCGCAAAAAAAAAAAAAAGTCAAGGGGCTACTTTTTCAGCGCAATCGCATCTGCCATACTTAAGGTACACCTAGCTGGCGCCAATAGATTTTAATTTGTTCAGACCACTCAAAGCTGTTCGCAGCGGAATTAAGCTTCCCGCAGGGTATGAGCCGAAAGCGGCGGTGTACCCCTGGCACCGGAGTCGCCAGGCGCACATGTGTTAAACGCGGGGGGAGGGGGGGGGGGGGGGGGGGACTATCTTGAAAAGCGTCAAATTGAATGTAGTTTTGTCTCTATCATTATGCAGATAAAAATATATTCCAGCAACATTTGTCAACCGCCTCGTATTAAACTTAAGTAAATCTATTAAAAAAGTGTCACAGAAGAGTCCTAGACAGTTCAGCGTCCATGCAGAAGCTGACGAAGAGAGCAGACGACACTCTTCGTCCCTTTCTGTTCGCGGAGCCATTTCTCGAAGTTTTTGCTCACATGTGTACAATGTTTAACAGTAACGCCGTTTTCACATTTCTTCTCATTGGCGAAAATAAGGTAACTGTGTTGGACGCGGAAGCGAGATTTTAACGGAAGGTAGAAATAAGCTCGAATGTGATATGAAAACGTCTAACCCATCTGCTCGTTTAGCTTTGGCTCGCTGTGGTAAGTGTTGAAAGATTGACGCACGACAATTGATTTTTTTTTTTGTGCTAAGTGAATATGTTTTATGTTGATATTGTTTTTTAAAGACACGGGAAAGAATTACACTAGTAATAACCCCGTATTCCGCAGCCCTTGGACGGACGACTCAAATATATCGCAGAGGTCTTCGATTTAGCGCATTGGCACTCGCGTGCCCACGTAGCTGGGCATAACACGGCAGGCTTTTATCCGCTGCTATCAGTGACCGCGCACTAACGGGACCTGAAAAAAAAAAAAGCAATTGACATTGTTTTTGTAGTTCCATGTCGATCTTTCTTGAGAGTCAAACTAAACTCTTCAACTTAACGTCAAAGCGTCATGGATAGCGGTTTTCCCCAAGGCGACGCTCTCGCAACAGCGTTGTCTTCAAAGACCGCTGCCGCCACTAACTCCCGACGCGAAATCATCCTGATGCAGGGAAACTACCGTCGAAATGTGAAGCTCGAGAAACTTGGAATAAATCTACCATCGCATTTCGCGTGGAAAGCATTTCAGTACATTCCAAGGAAGAAATACTTGTTGCGCAAGTGACCCAATCAAATCGCGAAGAATTAAGTGTGTAGCATACGACGGTGGCAGGGAGAAACAAAAGATAAATACATAGAAGGGTATGCACTCGGGCCAGTTCGTGATTCATAGTTAAGAGGATAAAAGCGCTAGAAAAACAACGAACAAGTGAAAGAGACGCTCTGTGGTGTTGGTCCCTTTCACTCGTCCGTCATCTTTTTAGCGATTTTAACCTCTATAACAGATACAGACGACACCCTGCGCTTCCACTCCGAAAGTCGATCGCAGCGCTAGTCCTTACGCGGTGGCTGCACTGGCTCTGCGACGTCGACCCACGACTCCTGCACTCCCCTGAACCCGGACTGGACTATAGTCGGTGACAGGTTAAGAATACACGGGAAAGTCCGCCCACCCTTTCCACCTGAGCAGAGCGATCGAAAGCTGGAGAGGATGCGACTTTCTCACTGGCTATCGCTCTGCTAAAGTGGAAAGGTGTGGGAGGAGTTTCCCCAACGGGAATCAGAACTCACTTCGCTATATCCGCCATTTCGTTACAGCCGACTTTGGTTAACGAAGTGCAAAGGGGAATGGGAAATCGTGATCGCTTCGCTGTAGCCGCTATTTCGCTATAACCGACTTCGTTATAACCGGTCTCGACAGTAGTACACAACTTTCTCACCAAATCGAACAGACCTAGTCGTTTATATCTTGAGAGCGTGTCCTTAGTGGGTGCGCCTACGACACAATTGACGACGTAACTGAAACGACTACGTCACTCTTCGAAGCGTCATTGTGGGCAGGGCTTCCGGCGCTTCTTGCGCGCAATTTTTCAGTCGGGTTAGACCCGTTAAAGTTGATCAGTGAGAAAAACGAGAGGTCAGAAACTAATATATTTTTTCAAAATTTTTAATTGATCTGGCCTCTAATAGTAACTGCCGTCAATGCCGAAATAGGAACACGACCCCTAAAACCAAGTTAAATAGGTAATTCACGAAATTTATTTAATTAGTTCAATTACCGTTACCATTTTCTCCTCATCTAATGTCCACCAAGCCTCATAAATGCGTACTGAAGACCGTCACTTGCCTAACTCTCACCCCCTTTTTTATTAAACACGTTCGAATTAAAACCAAACACCCGGTATATTATCTTTATATTTTCTGATAAACTACGATCATTCTTTCCGTTATTAAAACTAAAGCAAACATGTATTTTATTGATTCTGAATTTGCTGAATTAACCAAACGTTTGTTCATTCAAAGGTATATGTAACAGTATATATTTTGCCCATATAATTATAAAAACATATATTTGATAAAATAAATAATTTCGAGCTTTCTGGTGATATAAATGTAATTAAAATATCCTACACACTATAACTTACCAAATTATGCCAAAAAGCATTAAAAAACGAATTTGGCTTTCTTTTGTACAAAATACAAAAATTTATTCAATTCGTTAAGCGCAATGAACCCTATTTTGAGTGTAGCAGTGCGGTAGTTGAGAACTGATAAAATAGCGAGGGTCAAACATGCGATCCCAGACAGGTGGGAGAAACGTCACTTTTCGCCTCGCTCCCTTCAATGCTCAACAACTTAAAAACAAAAAATCCGTCAAGCTTGCGGTTCGTGCTTTGCACAGGTTCGAAGAATACGCTCAAAACATGTACATTTTTGTTGAAATTTAAAGATAGACCAGAACGCCGCGCTTGAATTGTGATTAAAAGACTCATATAGTACGTATCTGAGTTATTGCAATAGTGTAATTCAAGGACGGCTTCTCGAAACCCACGGTGGCATTACGGATGTCTTTGTTATTTCTTTTTCTTGTGACAAGGAAGGGGCAATGTGCTGCCGGGCTCCGAGTTCAACTTCAAGACCGACCCTGAGGCGGTCCACGTGGTGCTCACGAGGGCCGAATGTCCCATCACCATCGTGCCCTGGGAGGCTGCGGTGAAGTCACCAATACCCTGGGTAAGAATCTTCTCAACATGTCCACAGAGGAAGATCAAACATAGTACAGCATTGTCTAGACTTCAGAAAGACTGTGCAGCCAATGCCCCAGGAACATTTTGAAGGCTTAACCACCCAAAACTTCTGTTAATAGGGTAATATTTTATATTAGTCCTTTCGTACACTAATGTTATATTTTAGCGATAATTCTTTCCTCTGAAATCCGTAGGGAAGCATTTGTTTTTTTATATTTCATATTACAAAGTGTTTTTACCACGTTTTAGAATGCATCGTTGTTTAAATATTGCACAACATCATGGGTACTAATAGTTCCACAAGAACCAGGAGTCGCATTCTTCATGGTTAGAAACGTACGCATATACTTTACTTGCTGATTACACTGTTTGGAAACAGTGTGAAAAGAGCAGGATAGTGCGAATAAATAGTGTATATGCAACTACAACTCTAAAATATCGGGTGGCGACGGGCACAATTGTTGACCCCTGATCGGCCCGGCAAAGGCATTGGCAGTTTGATGCATTAGACCATACTTGGGTAGTAATTCAATTACAGTAATTAAATTACTGTAATTTAATTACTTTTCCTAGTAATTTGTAATTGTAATAATTACTTTTGGCTGAAAGGAATTGTAATTGTAATTTAATTACTTTCTAGCATCAGTAATTGCTAAATTTCAGGCACAATTACAATTACTTTTGCAAGATTTTGCGGCGGTGGCGCTTTTCCCCCCTGGCCACGGCGACGAGAGCACAACCGAAGCAATAAAAGAGAGAGTCTCCCAACCTGCTCAAAAAAAGGGAAAAGGGAGGCTGGGATAGAACGGAATGAAGGATTTTGTAGACTGCAAAACGATTTAATGAAGAATTTCAGAAATAATTTGATAAATGAGGGCTTCATTCGCGTCCGTTTTCGTTCCTGTCGTAGTTGAATCTGACTCTTCGTCTCGTTCGCTTCCTGTTGCTCCTGTTTCTAGGGGTCTTTCTTATTTCTCATTCCCACACGGGGGTATGGGGGTCGAAGTCGAGCTGGTTGGCTCCGATCAAATCATCCGGTCGAGGCGGGGAGGTTCGAAGTTTTCCTTACGCGTCTTCGCCGCTAGCATATTCGCTTACATATTTCAGTCAAGTTTGGGGACTTTTTTGTTCATGTAATTATTCTCTTTTCTTTATGAGTTTTCACGTCTTTCTCCTCTATCTCGTATGTTGGTACCACTAACAGAGGGTCGTGCTACTCTAATATCGAGGCGAAGAAGCGCAGTTTAGCAACAACAGTTGGAAGTAAGGCAGGGTGAGTCGTGTTAATTAGACCTGCTGCTTCTTTGCTTCTTCGCCTGACATGACGATCCTAAATTTATTATATATCTCAGGAGCTTTTTTTTTTTTTTTTGGTGTTACCGTGCACTGAATTAACCCAGAATCCCTGGCAAGAGAGTTGCTGCTATTGTGACACTAGTTTTGTGGAAGCGACCGCAGTTCGCGTGCTACGGTTACCCACATCCGACATGTTACAAGTCCACAGACAGGGAGAGGCAGCGAATCACCGAGTTTTATGATACCAGTACTGTCGCATATTTGTTTCCTTGTATTATTTTTAAGTTTATTTTTTGTTGGTTTGACTTGGATACCATTTGCACAAGCTCTAAAGAGATTCACCTCGCACCTGTGAATTTTGTCGCCATTTATTTTTATTTTTTGAGAATATAAGAAATCAGAAGTTCATTACTCCAAACTATTAAGTTCTATAATCCATTTAACAAATTTCATAAAAGAAAAGTACAATGCGTGACATTTATACAGCGGCCATATAACTCGTTTACATACAGTTATATGGCCCAAGGTGGGTAACTCTCAGAAATAAGTAATTGTAAAATAATTGCATTACTTTTAAAAAGTAATTTGTAATTGCAATGAACTACTTTCGCGTAGTAGTAATTGTAATTGTAGTTAAACTACTTTGGGGGCTAAGTAATTGTAATTGTAATTAAATTACATTTTGAAAGTAATTTACCCATGTATGCATTAGACCCATGTTACGGATTAAAAAAGCCAGGGCGCGGGATGGCAAAAAAAAAAAAAAAAAAAGCACGCTTTTTGTGTTAGGCTCGTCAAATTATGCGGCGCTGGAGAAAACCAGACTTCTGCGTTGAGTCCATATTCCTAACTCCTTTTGTTGGCGTTCCGCCCGTTGAAAAGCATGCGGGAAGCGCCTCAGTACGCACCTCGTATCGCTGCTGCAGTGTTTTTCTGCAGCATAAAGGCCGCCTGCTTCTATCGTCGTCACCATGGCAACGAACGCTGAATGTCCTTTTCAGACGGCGCGTGTTAACACTTTGCGGTGAGTCTGCGGCTGCTCACACAAAACTATTAAACTTTAACTAGCAGACGGCGTTCGAAAAATTGCGTCAGCTGTTTCTGGCTTCACGAGGCTGTAACGTGCGAGCTTCTATTCATTCGGCGTTCATTGCCATGGTGACGGCTATTAAAGCAGACGGCCTTTATGCCGCGGAAGAACACTGCGGCGCAGTGATACTAGGTGCGTGCAGAGTCCCTTCCAGCATGCTTTTAATGGGCGGAACGCGAACAAAAAGAGCTCGAAATAAAGATTTAACGCAGAAGGCTGCTTTTCCCTAATCTGACAAGCCCTAGACGAAAAGCATGTTTTTAGGTCGGAGTTTAGAGATAGTTTTTTTTTTTTACAACAACGTGGTTCCAAAGTATAAATGTGCCCAAATATTTGCGATGCACGTCTCGTTCACAGCAGGCCTGGGGCCCTAAAGTCGTCAAACACAAAGTGAGAGCAGAAAGTTCGCGGAGTTCGCCGATTGGACTGTTATGGCTGCGGTGCAAGGAGTGGCCAGACGAAGGAAGGACTGCGAAACAGCTTTATTTCCGCAGAGGCCGGCAGCGATCTGGCTGCGCGTATGATGGTGCTCTTCTTATAGAGCGCCCGGTGACGTCAGTACTACGCGTACTGCTGATAGCAACGGCAGCGGCCTCTAGCACTTCCTCCACCGCAATTTGGAACGTCATGAGGCTTCATAGCGATCGGGGGGTCTTCTCTGGCGTTGTGGGTATCGCCGAGGCGCAGCGTTAGTGGGGGTGACGGGCACCGTTTGTCTTGCGGAGACAGTAGACGGAGGTGGTACGTCGGCTTCAGACGCAGGATAGATGGTGTCGGTATCGTCCTCCCCCACAAGGGACGGCGCCAAGGGTGCCGTTGAAGATGCGGCTGTACTTGGCTTGAAGTTCTTTTAGGCGTGCCTCGTACTTCTTGCTTGCATCAGACCGATGAGGGTCCGACAGCTTGTGTACGCCGCAGATGTTGTCCCAGTCCAGACGAAGACGTGAGAGCCACTCGCGGCCCAAAAGAGGCGGGCCATTGTGGTCAACTACGTAGAGGGGTAGAACGTCCTCTTGACCCTTGTATCTTACGGACGCTTTGACGAAACCGCAGGGTTGCACGACTTCCCCGGTGTAAGTCTTGAGGCGTAGCTCGGTGGGTTCAAGCTTCAAAGGAGGCTGAAATTTCTTGAACTGCTGCTTCGGTATTATGGACACCGTGGCTCCCGTGTCCAATTCCATGCTCAAGGAAGTTCCTTGAACTTCCACGTCGACGGTGATGGGTCGCCGGCTTTGCGGTGACAGCATCTTGACGTTGAATGTGTCGTCGCTTTGAAGAGTCCGGACCCACTTCTTTCCGCCAACAGTCTTCTTCTTGGCACTCCGACATGCACGCTGAACGTGACCCTTCTTGCCGCAATTCATGCACTTATCTGCAATGTGCGGACACGCCCGGGCGAAATGCTTATCAGAGCCACAGCGATAACACTCGAACGACTGTTTCCTTTTCGCGGAATCTTCGGTACTCATCTTGTGCAAGTCATCGCTCCTTTCTTTTGCGTGCGCCTCCTGAACATTTTTTTTAGCTTCTTCTAACGCGAGTGCGCGTTCAACGGCTTTTTGAAATGTCAACGTTTTATCCTCTGCAAACAAATACCGCTGTATGTCCGCACGGAACAAACCGCACGCGAATCGATCTCTCAGCGACTCATCTAGGAAACCGCCAAATTCACAGGTTTGAGAGAGCTTCCTGAGCTCCGCTACATATTGTGCGATACTCTCGTGTTCCAACTGACTACGGCGATGGAATTTCGCTCGTTCTCCAATCACTGATACTCTCGGTGACAGCTGGTTTCGCAGCAATTGGGTTAGTTGCTCTAGCGTGTTTTCTGACGGTTTGGCAGGTGCCGTCAAAGACTTCAAGAGACTGTACGTTTTAGGCCCAATAACGCTTAAAAAAGCATGCACCTTGAGGTCGTCAGGTATTTTGTTGATCAGAAAAAAGGACGTCAACCTTTCTTCATAAGACTGCCAGTCACTCACAGTTTCATCGAAGGCGTCTACTTGGCCGATATGACTGGAGGATGCCATCTTGAGAAACTTGCTGTCGCCGAGTACCCAGCGGCGTGCTGTGATGTTTCGCTGTCTGTTTGGACGCAGCTTCAAGGCTTCTCACCTTCGTCTTGGCTTTGTTGCCCCCATCTTCGTCGCCAGTTGTTATGTCTGCGGTGCAAGGAGTGGCCAGACGAAGGAAGGACTGCGAAACAGCTTTATTTCCGCAGAGGCCGGCAGCGATCTGGCTGCGCGTATGACGGTGCTCTTCTTATAGAGCGCCCGGTGACGTCAGTACAACGCGTACTGCTGATAGCAACGGCAGCGGCCTCTAGCATGGACGTCGGCGAAAAAAGCGCGAAGTCGTCGTCCTGATAGGCCAGTCGGAGCGCTCCGTCACCCTCGGCCCCAACTCTGTGTTCGACGAGTTTACTCGCGCTGCAGAACCCAGGGATCCTGGGTTCGAGCCCCACCCCTGCCCGTTTCGATCTGGATGAGCATCGTACCGGCGTGCGGTCGTCTACCACTACTGCGTGGTGCACGTTAAAGACCCCAGGCTAGCGGTTGTACTGCACTGGCTAAATTGCTCATCTACAGCGTGTGACTCGTCGCAACTTTAATGGCTGACCAACTACACGCTGTATAAATATCCTCACAACCCCCCCCCCCCCCCCCCCCAATCGACGAGTTTAGATAACTGGAATTCTAGGAGGCATGTACAACTTTATTTTTGCAGCGAGGGCAGCCTTGCACCTACACGCCGTTTTGACGTTAAGCCCGCGGCTACAGCCATCGCTACGGTGCGCCGATCAAACAGCGCCACAGGTGCATCATCATGGCGCTAGTATTTTTGTAAATTCTTTATCGCCGGCTAAACCAATGGCGCACAAAAAAAAGCGCAGTTCACAGCGCCTTCATTGTGAGTGACTGGTTTACTACGTGGTAGAAAACGCAAAACGACAGTGAGTGTCATGACGGTGCACTTTTGGCGCTGCTTGATTGGCTTAATCAATCAATCTTAATTCATCTTCGGTAAACGTCAAAAACACTGCATATTGCATCCGGATCCCCAGTCATTGTGGCTCCTTCTGGATCCATATATGAATACATCTACAAAGGATGCGGGTTTTACCTGGCACGCATGCAAGTGTCGCTCGAACAAAATTCAAATAACAAAATGCAAGGTTCACGTTCCTGAATATATATATATATTTTTTTTAGAGTTAGTGCAAAGGATTGACTTTCTTTTATGTTCGGAATTAACGAGTCTGCGAAAGTGAAACAGAGGAAAATATCACGAACGGCATGCTTTCTACAATCATTTCAGCATTTTATATCAAGGAGAAGTCTTTTCAAAGTCGTGTATAGTAATATATAAAAATATTTAAAAAAAATGAGCTGCATGACTTCTGGAACGCCGCCCGAAGTGATTAAAAATTCCCTAGAAGTACTCCACAATGAACCTTTTCCCAGCAAGCTTCCGCGCATGCGTACACGCCCTCTCCTGATCTTGCCCCCGACTGTCGCTATGTTTGCAGAACAAAGTTCCGGGCTACCAGAATATTCAGCACCTATCTTTGCATGTATATCTTCTTTTATGGCCATTCTTGTTTGAGTATATACGCTAGCATGTGGCATAAAAGGGGACCGTCGGCAAGAGCCATATACAGGGTGTCACAAAACAATTTACAGGTTTTTTTGGTTCTTTTACCGCAAGAATAAACTATCGCATTGCCAAACGCTCATTCTCAGCCCAAAAGGCGCGCTAGAGGTCACAACGAGATGCCAAAGTTTCAGCCCGAACGGACACCTTAATCAAAAGTTATAAGTGATTTTTTGAAAATTTCAATGGGAATATGGAGCCCAGTTTTGCCCCTTTTCGGTTTCTGGTGGCCATAGAGCCCCATGTATTCGAAAACTCCGTCAGCCGCCATTTTACCATTGAAATTTTCAGAAAATCAATTATGACTTTTGATTAAGGTGTCCGTTCTGGCTGAAACTTTGGAATCTCGTTGTGACCTCTAGCGCTACCTTTGGGCGGAGAATGGGCGTTCGGCGATGCCTAGTTAATTTTTGCAGTAAAAAAAGAAACATGTATTTTTTTTGTGACACCCTGTATTTAGTTTGCAACCAATCCTCAGTGCGCAGCTGGCTCCCGAATGAGGAAGCGTACCTTCCCACATGTATGCACGACATCACGGGATGATTCATACCGTACCAAGGAATAACACAGCGGGCGTATGACGTGAGAACTTCAGACAAAAGTCAGTTTATAGCGTAAAGGGTAACGAAACTCCTTCCCTCGCGATTACTTCAGTTACAACAAGGTGCTCACCGCAATCCAAGAGCAATAAGAATTCAAGGCCCAGTACGCAACCACACATGGAGCAGAGGCCATATAAGACATCTCATAAAAGCATGCTCGGGACGCACTTCGCTCCTGGTTACATTTGAGCTTTTCTCAATCCTTTTGATAAACCCGAAGAAGACAGGAGTGTCGATCGTGTTTACAGCGCCTCCGAAACCACCACAAATCTCCTCGTAACCGATCATAATAAATCCTTTCTCGCGCATAATGCCCGCACGACACATTCTGTGCTCCACGGGTTTATCGGAATTGTTGAGATAACTTAAATCGTGCATGTTTCGTGTGGTGTTCACTTCTCAGTTTTTTTTTTAACTGTTAAACTGTTGAAACGCGAACATCGAACGCTATGACGCCGGACGCCGGCGTTCGGCCTTTGCGTTCGAACATTTAGTAAGGCTCTGTTATACTCCGAATTTGAGCGTACCAAACATGGCGTAGCGCAGTGCACACAGATACTAGCTTCGTTCAATTTACCTGCATATCCTGCAGCGGCGCAGAAAAGTGCAGGGCAGTGTACTTTCCGGTATGTGTATTGAGATACGACCGGAAGGACACCGCCCTACACTTTTCTGCACCGGAGCAGTAGGTGCCGGTAAACAGAACGAGCCCAGTGAGTGGTTGCAGATATCGAGTTTCTGCTCGCCGGCCAAGGAGAGGCGCACGTTCTTCGCTTCGCTGCGTTCGTTGCGCTCAGCGTCGAGGCATAACAGAGCCTGTAGCAGAGCCTGTAGAGACCGGCCGTGATAGAGGAAAAGCCAGCTAGCTTCGCATCCACTCACTAAGTGGAGCAGTGGTAGAATCTCGAGCTCACAACGACGTGGTTGACGTGGTTGTGGGTGCGATTCCCGTTAGAGAGTGTTTAGAATTGCCTTTTTTTATTACAGTTCGCCACTCTTTTGTAGAGATCGTCATCTAAAGAGTATGTTACACATTTCGTAACGGTTTCCGCGGCGTTTTAGTCACATTTTCCTCGTGGAATCGAGGCCATAAACACAGTATCTGTTAAAAGGCTCTTGGCTACAGGAGCATGTCAGACTATGAACTACATGGTTCTGACGAAGTTGCAGACTATTATTGAATGGTAAAGTCTCTCCTCTTCACAATAATATCAGAGAACGAGAAGTATTGAACATGAAATAAATTCCGATACTGGAGGCAAAAGATGAAACGAACACTAGAAGAATTTTGCAAGACATTCGAGCTCGCGGAATCGGCAGTTAGTTATGTTGATCGACTTTTTCAAATATTGAAACATCCTGAGACGTTCTAAACAATTTTTGTAGTTGATGGAAAAAAATATTAATGTATATATATATATATATATATATATATATATATATATATATATATATATATATATATATATATATATATATATATATATATATATATATATATATATATCCCCGGTTCCTTGCTGTGTCCAAGAAATTAACTGCGATGACAGCGGAAGCGCTGCAGCTGGCCAACAAATAACCTGCGCTCCAGTCTGTGTTTTTTTTTCCTTTTTTGCTGTGTGCAGCACGTGTACCAGACGATGACGAAGCAAGACACGGTTAAGGGACGCTTCTTCGCGGCCATAACACGGCACAACCTGCGCTACTACGAGAAGGTGGAGTTAGGCGGCTACGAAGTGGGCGACGCCCTCGCTGTGGTGGCTGCCCTGGCGCCGGACGCCGTGGTACACGAGTACGAGCGTCGTGTGGCCGTCGAACTATCGGGGCTGCACACCCGCGGTCAGCTGGTGCAGGCCTGGACGGAAGACATGCTGCCCGAAGTGCACTCCAAGGTCCGCATCGTGGCCCGCTTCGACAAGGAGCTGCTGTCCGAACTGTTAATCCGAATGCTCATCTGACTTTCTGGCTGTTGTCCGAGGCCGTATGCCGAAAAAACCAATGAACTGGCGGCAAATGTAGACCGTATTAACTGAACAGTTTTTACCACAGGTTAGACCATAACAATGCTACTGGCAATAGTGTAGGAATGACACTAAATGTAGAAAGGATTACGGAGTTGGTCTTTGTTTTCCACACATACTAAGAAACGTTCAGACTTAAGGCAGCGATTTCACGCGTGCCATCGTGAACAGGGCACTGCTTCTACCGACAGGGCGGAGATACACTTTCGCTTGCGAGCAAAAAGTCTAGTTCAGGCAAGCAAGCAAGTTCAAGCTAGTTCATTTGTGAGCCAATCTAGTTCAATGTTGATACGCCACGTGGCGTGAAATTTTAAAACTAGATTGAAATATTCCAGAAAGTTGTTCATTCCTAGTCAATGCTTGGCATACGTTATTTGCAAGTCACACATCTTACAGTTTAGAAAAAGTGGCTATTCGAATTCATTTTTTTTTAAAGTAGGTGATTAGCGACCGAATGGGGATTATTCCTTTTGATCGTTTTACTCAAAACATACTTTGCCACGCTAACTTACCGGAAAGAACTAGCAAGTATTTAGAAGTGAAACGCAACGTTGGAATAAAAACAACGCACAGGAGCATAACAACGTTTTAAGTTTTATGTGCAAGGCGTATAATTTTTAAACAAGCCTAAGAACTCATAGGCAGGACTAACACTGCAAACAAATTAATATTTGCATAAATCTGACACTTGCGTCGTAATCCACTTTTTTTTTTCTTCTCCTGTGTGTGCTATATAGGCTGCACAACATCTCCGTAAGAGCACTGAGAAGCTCTCCTCCGTTCATCCCTAGTGTAAATAAGTGAACAAACAATAAAAAATATCGCGGGATCGTTGGTGCATTCTATTATTATATTTTACAATATTTGACATTCAACATTTTATTTATTTATTTATTTCAATACCCTCAGGGCCAACGGCATTACAGAGGGGAGTGGGTTGTATTCAACAAGAAAAATATACAATGAATAACTTAAAGGAAAAGCACATATTAGTTATGAACAATAAAAATTCGAAACAGCAGTTTAAAACAAATTATCCGCCTGGATTATGGCGATGGAGGTGGGAAGGCGGTTCCAATCCAAAGAAGTTCTGGGAATGAAAGATTGTTGAAATGTGTTCGTGCTACATAGTGGTACACCTACTTTATGAGGATGATCAAGACGGGATGAAACATAGAAAGGTGGTGTGAGGAGACGGTGACTGAGGAAAGAGTTAGTGTGAAATACTTTATAGAAGAGACACAAACGGGCTACCTTTCGGCGTGAGGCAAGACTAGGTAAAGATAAGTTAGATTTCATAGAGGTGACACTTGCGGTGCGTTGATAATTACTGAGGATAAAACGAGCGGAACGATTTTGAACAGCTTCTAGGGGGTTAACCAAATTTAAAAGGCTTGGGTCCCAGATAGACGACGCGTATTTAAGCTTTGAGCGTACAAGTGTTTTATAAAGAGTTAATTTCAAAGAGGAGGGAGCTAAAGAAAAATTATGTTTTAAATAGCCAAGCATGCGATTAGCATTACTAATAACGTATCCAATATGTATTTTCCAAGAAAGATCAGATGTTATGTGTACGCCCAGGTACTTGTAAGACGATACAGAAAGTAAAGGAACATTGTTAAGAGTGTAGCAGGGAGAAACTGAATGATTACGAGACACTCTCATTACTTTGCACTTAGTTGTGTTAAGCTCCATATGCCAAGTTTCACACCAATGAAGAATAACGTCAATGTCTGTCTGGAGTTTGATAACATCTGAATCATGATTAATTTCACGGTGAATGACACAATCATCTGCAAAAAGGTTAATTGAGGAAGAAATGTCATTCGGCAGGTCATTAATGAAGATTAAAAACAGAAGTGGGCCTAGTACAGAACCCTGAGGCACGCCGGAGGTCACTGACGCGAGCGGAGATGTATGGTTATTGGCCGTAACGAACTGGAATCGTTTAGTAAGAAAGCACTGGACCCAAGCCATAACGTTAGCATCAATGCGAAGGTTATTTAGTTTCAACAAAAGCAACTCGTGTGAGACTTTATCGAACGCCTTCGAGAAATCCAAAAATACGCAGTCTATCTGGGACCCCCTATCAAGAACAGGGTGCAAGTCGTTAGTAAATAATAAAAGCTGGGTCTCGCAGGAAAATGATTTTTGGAAGCCATGTTGAGCGGCGTTGAAAAACACGTTAGACTCCAAAAAATTAACAAGCTGAAAATAAATGACATGTTCAAGTATTTTACATGGTATGCTAGTGAGTGAAATTGGTCTATAGTTGTTAGGGGAATGTTAATCACCTCCTTTCTGCAACGGAACCACCTTCCCAACTTTCCAATCGTCTGGGAGGACACCGAGATCTAGCGATTGGGTGAATATTTTTGACAGTATGATGGAAGAATATGCACTTGTGTTGTTTTTTTTTAATTTTGAATTAATATTATCGACACCAGCACTGGATGATAGTTTAAGGTTATCGATTATTCGAACAATGCCAATGGGATCAATTTCGAAATGTTCCATAGGCATAAAGTTGCACCGAGGTAATGAACAAGGTAACATGTTACATACACTGGAAAAAGATTTAACAAAAGCCACGTTTAAAATTTCAGCACAGTCCTCATTAGGTATAACACAATCATCCAGCCTGATTGAGATTTCGTTCGAATTGTTATCACCAATAATGTTCCAAAACTGCTTAGGATTAGTAGACAACATATTCGGCAAAGTCTGATTAAAATACACAAGCTTCGCATCGTGAATAGCAGATTTATAAGCCTCATATCCGTTCTGATAAGCCTCCCAACGTTTCGAACAGCCTGTGGCATTTGCAGAGCGAAACAATCTTTTCTTTTTATTAGAAAGCCTTTTTAGTGTCACATTAAACCAGGGTGAATGAGTGTATGATCTTATCAAACGGAGAGGAATGAATTTATCCGTGAGCAGCGCCACTTGATTTTTAAACAAGGTCCAGTTTTCCTGAATGGTGCGTTCAAAAAAGTTATTATAAAGACATCTAGAAAAAGGGCTAAGTGGTTATTAATAGCTTCAAAGTTCGCTTTGCTATAGTCGCGAATGCGTTTAGTCACTTTAGAAGAGTTGTGCTTAGGAACCGTCAGAGATATGTATAATGAACTATGATCACTGACACCTGGTTAATGAGATACTAAAGAAACAAGATCCGGCGTACTAGTTAAAACAAGATCAAGGATATTGGCTGACGTAGCTGTGACTAGTGTGGGTTCAGTGACGAGTTGTAAAAGATTGAAATCAGCACACAAGCTTAAGAAATTGGAACACTCAGAGGAATGACAACTGAGAGAAGGGCACGTATCCGACCAATCAATATTCAGATAATTAAAATCGCCTAATAAAAATATTGGAGAATCTGGGAATCTTGCAGTAACCATATTTAGCGCATCATGTAAGTCATTGACATAGCCAGTGGAAAAGTTAGGTGGTCTATAACAAGCACAAAGTACAATTCGCCTATTTCCCGCTTGGAAGCAAACACAGCTAAACTCAAGCTCAGTTACAATATTTACATAAAATGATTCAATATTCTCGTTAATTCCAATCAATACTCCTCCTGATCTATACTCCCTGTCGTATCGATAAATATTAAAATTTTTTTCGCAGGCAAATATTTCACTGTCACGGTTTCGAGACGAAAGCCAAGTTTCTGTTAGTACACGATATCAGACGAAGAAGAGTCAATAGTCGCACACAATTCATCACGCTTGTTCATGACACTTCTTACATTGGCGAAAAACATTGAAACATTAGCAAACGATTGACAAGGCCTTTGCCGACTTTGCTTATTTATGGGTTGCTACGGGGAGCTAGCAGAAGGCACTGACTCAGCAGCCGTGCTATTATCAGCAGTTGCGCGGCGTGGTGCAACACGATCACCAACTTCAATCACGCTGTCACTGTCTGAGCAGTACATAAAAATCTTTTTATCAAGGTGAAGTTTATTGTATCGTAAGCTAAAGTACAGCTGCAACGTAAAAAGAGTAGCACAAGAGACCGATGATCGGAGCGGCAAAACCGCGACACGCGGCGGTATTGTTCCCAAACTCGCCGATAGCGAGAGTGCAAGTCATGTTGCATTTTTCAATGTAGGGGTGGCCGGCGGAAAGTTGAGGGATAATATAGCTTTTAAAATGCAGGCTTTAAAATAAGCTGCTTGCTGCCGGCCGCCCCCTCGTTGAGACATGGAACGCGACTGGCACTCCCTCTATCGGCGCGCTCGGGAACAAGAGCGCCGCGTGTCACGATTTTGCCGCTCCGGTCATCGGTCACTTGTGCTACTCTTTTTCCGTTGCAGCTGTACTTGTCCGGGCTTCTAGCCTTCGCAAAGTCAATCAAATTTTTTCGCGCGTGACGCGTAGCTGGCGAAAAGTCCTCGCTGACAGACCCACTGCTGCCCTTTAATTTTGATCGACCCACCAGCACGTTTTCTCGAAGCTTGTAAGACTCAAACTTAACGACTATTGGGCGACATTTTCCCGCGACAAAGGCGCCGAGTCTATGAGCCCGAGCTATGTCGTCTTCAGCAATCTGCATGTTAGCTTCCCGATGGAGCACCTCCGGTACTTTCTCTTGGGATAGGGCCCATGTCTCAGATGGAGTGTCAATGATTCCATGGAAAATTAAGTTTTCCCGTCTCGACCTGTCCTCCATTTCATCCACTCGGGCGCGTAGGAGCGTATTTTCTTTCTTTGTGTCATTGGCGATCGGCTGTGCTACCCGTAGTTCATTCTGCCACTCGTCGGACATTAAGGCCTTGTTTTCAACCACTGTTAGTCTATTGTTTACTTCAACGAGTTGTTTTTCAATCGATTGTTGGTTGCTTTTAATCTCGTTAACGAATGCCATAAGACTATTCTGGCCCTTCTCAAACTTAAGGGTACGAGCATTCACTTCATGAAGAAGCTTCAGCATTTCGTCAAGCTGCTTGCCTTGGCTCTCAGTCTTAGGTCCCGGGTTGGACTCAATATCCCCGCTCAAAAGCAAAAGCAAAGAACACAATGCATCAACACAGTCGGAAACACAAAGACACAATGCTTCCGGGCGAGGCAGCACTACGAAACACAAATAGTCGCTTTTTACTTTCGAATAGTAATGACGACTACCAGCCTCCAGTATGAAAACGACAGGATTAGACGACGTCCGCATGGTTGAAAAGCTGCCTCGCTCACTGACGAATTCCGCGCCAAGCAGGGGGGCGGTATGTGAAGAATCCGATGATGATGATGTCGGTCCGGTGGCGCGATGAAACGTAGGCGAAACCAGAAGAAATTCTTGGTGAGGCACGGAATGTCCACCGACTTCACCGGGGAGGACACAATCTGCGTTTGCTGGTGTTGCTTGCATCCCTGTAATCCAGGCGGGCCGGTGTAGTTCACTGACAGCGTGAACAAGGCGAAGATCTGCAGTATGAAAACGACAGGATTAGACGACGTCCGCATGTCTGAAAAGCTGCCTCGCACACTCAATTCTGCCAAATTGTGACCTAACAAAATAAAGCTTTAACGTTCTGCGTGTCGTCGAAAGTAACTGCAGTCACCTCTCTTCAATATGAGGCCCGCTAATATGAACGGCTCGCTGTATAGCTGAAGATTTCGATACCCGTTTGTCCCCTCACAATTCTATCCCGATAGACCCACAGTACAGATCGTACACAGCTAGCGTTTGAAACTGGGTAGATTCACGCATCTTAGTTTCGCTATTTTAGACAAAGGATGTGCAAGAATGCTGGACAAACAAAAATATTAATTGAAAAAAAAAAACAGAAGCTCATGTACATAACTTCCTTATTCTGCGTTGTTCGTTGCTCTCTG